TAAGGATGCCGTTATAGATTTTGTCTAACTATGCGTGAAAGAAAGGGAAAATTATGTCGACGTGCTATTCTGACCACACAGAAATTTTGCAGGGTGAGGAGCTCTGGGATGTTAAAATGGAAGAGAAATGACCCACGCACCTTGAGGGTTTCCCCTTGCACTGTACGCAGTACAAAAACCGCACCACATGCCCCTGTTGGAAAAGACCCAAAGCGTTCGAGACAACAGCAGCTCGTTTTTCTAATCTGATTGGACTCTCCTAACCGAGTTATTCGTCTTCTGTCACTTGAATGTGTTATCTTTGATGTTCTCTCATCAATCAAATCCCATACCACTGAGCGATCCCCTTGTTGGGGTAATGAGATCCTTGTTTTCTACACTTGTGATTCAGTTCTACTTTGCCAAAGGCATGTCTCATCCCAATCTCTGTGTCCTTGTGACTTCCTCAGGCATATTATGTACAACATCGCGCGTTCATCGCAAGTTAGTGAAGTGGGATCGCAGGCGGTGGCAAAATAACTAAAAAGGGATGAGAAATGAAACTGCAGCTGAAAACTCCAAGTGAGCTGATCAACCGTAGTACTGTTTAGGTTTAGATGGTTCGTACACAAAAAGGCCATTGTGAATAGGTTTCAAGAATGGTTCCTAAAAAAGCGCCTAGTTTAGTCAAAGCAATAGACTTTCCAATACTGTTCCCTGAACAGAAAAAAAGACTTAACAATACTTACCACGTATAGTAATTGTTGTCATCACTGTAAGTTGCTGGAAAGTGCAATGTATCACAGTTCTCATGATACAATCACCGCCATTTGGTATACACCCCTTGAACCGATACACAAAGGGAGAGAATATTTCAGACACTAATTAGCTATGCAAATGAAGAACGAAGAAGCAAGAGAAAAACAGGAACTGCCCGAAGAATAAATATTAGACAAACAAGACATAAATGCATGAGGCAATTCAAAAAATGAAGGAAGTGAACGGTAAGCTTCACTTGCTGCACTACGGCCTAACACTTATCTCACAGCTTTCAGGAAAAGCAAATCTAAAAAACCACTGCTGGTGAAGTCACAACGAAACTTGGATACATGAAACTTGGATACCAACCCACAATGAAACTGTTTTCTGAACAAAAAAAAAACTGAACAATAGTTACCTACCTCGTATCGGAATTATTGTCATCCACTGTAAGTTGCTGGAAAGTGCAATGTATCACAGTTCCAAAATGATCGTGATACAATCACTTCGAAGTAACTCTACAGTCATTCTAATAGTTGAAGTGTGCAGAGCGAACTCAGCGCAAGAATGAAGCCGGAAGAAGAGTCGAGAATGGTGAACTTGGGAGGCTCTGCAGTCCAGTCTACTCTGGCGCGCTCTATTGCAGACCGATCAACCACGATAATCTATTCGTTCGGTGATCCGGACGAGTTATTGGCGAGATATGGGAGGCGCTTGGGTGGCAACTACAGCCCATGCGCCCCAATGGCAATGTGACCGCGCCATATGACCGCCTCCCATGCAGACGCTGTCTGGCGCAACGGATTCATGTCTAGCACTTATTAACAAAAACAGGGGTCGCAACTGGACCCCCTCGAGAGCTAGGGGGTCGCAAAAATCCCGAAAATGTTCGAACGTGACGGTTGACCGCTTCGAGGTGGGTGAGCCAACTACAGTATGGCAAGTTTGAATGTGTGTGATCACAATGGTCATGAGCCGCTGATAAGGTGAGAGAGCGCAGACGAGAGGGATCTGAGGCAGGATCAACCGTCCGTTGGATAAAGCTCAGCGCAAGAATGAAGTCGGAAGAAGAGTAGAGAATGGTGAACTTGGGAGGCTCTGCAGTCCAGTCTACTCTGGCGCGCTCCATTGTAGACCGATCAACCACGATAATCTATTCGTTCGGTGATCCGGACGAGTTATTTGGTCGAGATATGGGAGGCGCTTGGGTGGCAACTACAGCCCATGCGCCCCAATGGCAATGTGACCGCGCCATATGACGCCTCCCATGCAGACGCTTTCTGGCGCAACGGATTCATGTCTAGCACTCTTATTAACAAAAACAGGGGGTCGCAACTGGACCCCCTCGAGAGCTAGGGGGTCGCAAAAATCCCGAAAATGTTCGAACGTGACGGTTGACCCTGGTCTGAGGCGGCTCAAAGGACGGAGTTCAAGTAGTCCCTCAACCGTTGCGCCACAGTCTGCGTCGTAAAGTTCAGTGTAAGTGTCCATTTTTCATGTGCACAACACAGCTTAGATGTCGCCGAGGGGTTATGGTGATGGTTTGCCGACCTACTGAAGTTACATTGTTGTCTTCTGGACAACCTAATACTTTTGGAACACATTGTATATACTGCAACTTATTGTTATGGTATGATGATTAAAGGAAGCAGTCACGATAATTTTCATGGCAACGATAAGGAAAGCTATGTATTGGAGTGGATAGAGGTCCTGCCCAATGTTAGAACACGTGAAGTTTCAGTGGCAGTGGCGCCTTATCAATGGAGTGATAAGGCGCCGAAATCCACTTCCGTTCAGCAAAAACCAAGACTTATCGATGTGGAAAGGGGTGCGATAAGAGCGTGCTAGATATGATACCGTTATCGTTATCGTCCCGTTTTCATTCTGGAGTGCACCTCTTATCAAGCAGCCGCACCTTCTTATCTCATCGTATCATATCTTCCATGGGCTTACACTCGTCCAACAATTACTGCCTCACACCTTATCGATTGATAACGCGAGGGTAGCAAATCCAGCGTGGAAGCCAGCGTGACTGCTTCCTTTAATGAAATTAACTATGCCTGGGCCCAATCTACCGCAAGCGTCGATATCGCGATACGTTCGAAATAATCGAATCCATGAGTAAGGACACTATAAACTTGTCATGAAGGACATCAATTAAATCACAGGCCGTACCTGCACCCCCTCGAATGCCAGAATCGACTGTTCATCTGTAGCACAGAAACGACATGCTTTCGATAACTCTCCTGTTGATGCTTTCACCGGACAGCTAAAAACTCGCTCTACGGCGATATACAGCTCCGCTGTGTCTAACATGCGACCAAAGCCGCTTGTACGCCTAAACTGACCCATTGCCTTTCACTCCATGGAACAACGTCAAATAAAGGAACATTGGAGATACAGCGGATAACAACACTTGGAATGTCGAAGGTAAATAGACACATGGAACATCTGTTTATTCCAACCACACTACCGTTTCGATAAAAGTGCCCATAGTAACACTAAATCTTTAGATTCAATATGGACTAAATCTGATGCAAGACCAAATGCCATTTCAGGAGTTGAAAGAATCTAGCAAAAATATAATATTATATCCTAAACTACAATCGGAAGGAGAAAGACTAGTTGCCTACATACAACAAAAACCCAACAAGACCATCAATCACGAACTGTGTTGTAAAACTGAATAAGCGCGTCGGGAGTACCATGCCGAGCAATCTTTTGGAGGACTTCGTTGTGTGTGAATTTCCCCATCTTCGTCTCCTGAAAAAAAGTTTTTCTTCAAGGAAGTATGAGTATGAATGAGCGAGTGCACCAAGGCTTACAGTAATGAATGCGAGCAAGTGCTTCACACTCAATTCTTCCATCAAAAGTTGCGTAGCAGTTTGACACTCATAGGTCATAGCGATTAGGGCCGTAACAAATGACACTCGCACTGGCGCTCTAGTGAGATAATAAACCGGTAATGATGCTATCGCAGAAAGCAAAGATCGTTGACCTCCGAGGATGCATGACATCTGAAAAAAATCTTTAAACATTGCAAAAAACTCGATTCCGTTAATGACACAATCTGCGGAAGCAATTACCATCCACGACAAACACCTCTTCCATGCTGGTGCAACAATCTGCCACTTTTACAGGAAGGGCGGTTCAAAAAAAAAACAGGAAAAATTTTGATTAACAAAAACTAGGTGATCACTCCAACAAGAATGTACACTGCGTTCAATAATGATACAGCCACCTAAATTTGTTCGAAAACTCAAAGTTTATAGAGTTTCTGAAAAACTGTCCAGATAGAAAATGTGACAAATTTCATGGCGAGTTCAGATATCAACACAAAAATCCATGTCGAAAACACTAAAAATTTTGTGCTCATTTTTTTCAGAAGAGGTTTTTCTACATTTTCCTATGTTCAAAAATGATACAGCCACCCCGTACTTTTCATTGGAAATTCG